TATTTGTCGACACTCTCCACATGATAGATATTAAAACTTTAAATTCTTATCAGATAAGTTTATGTATTTTTAAACTCTTTTGAATTCTGTATTTTTATTTTCCCGATATTTATGTGCCCGATATTTTTATATGTTTATGTATTTTTTAATTCTTTTATATATTAGTATATAAAGAGGTAACCTAAATAATTATAAAATAGTAATAAAAAATAAATGAAACTCTCGCTTAAAAACTAACTAAATGTACTTAACTTTCTTTTGAAATTTTTCATTTGCCGGTCTTTAGTGGATGTTTTTATTTTTTTGCTAATTTGAAATTTTGTGGACACTTCGAATTTTATGGAATCACGTCACATGATTTGGTTTTTTTGCTAATTTGAAATTGAAATTTTGTGTGCACTCCAAATTTTTTTTAGGACTCCCAATTTTGTGGACAGTTTGTGGACACTCTCTACATAATAGACATTAAAATAACTTTAAACTCTTATCAGATTGTGGCCCGAACACAAATTGATTATAAATTCAATTTCTGTTTTTATCTCATGAATTCAATTTGTGTGATTTATTGTCATGAATTCACTAAGTCTAAATTGTTAATTAAACAATTATTTCTACCTTGTGTATTATAGGTGATTTCACCATTGGAATACACTATTAGTTTCGTTAAACATCAATTGCATAGTTATCCATGTAAGTCGAAATTGTTATTTAGACAATTTATCCTTGAGTAATTATCGATACGTAATGATAATCATTAACATCTACTTCCACCAAATCCGGGCATTCGATTTTCTTATCGTCTCTCTAATGTTGTTTCGATTTTCAGTTGTCTACATTATTGGTAAATTGGTAAATTCAGTTAAACACAAATTGTGGCCTGAATATTTATTTTTAATAATCTATTAATATATATATAAAGATGCAATGATATTTACTTTAAATGACAACTAAAAATAAGCAAAAAAACATTTGGTTTTTCGGCTAAAATATTTACTATATTGAATAATAGTTTTTGCCAAAATTTGAAAAATCCCGATGTATAGAATCATTTTGGTCAGATATTGCGGCTATTACCTTTATTAGTTACATTATTTAAATTTGACATATAATATATTGACAAAACTTGCAGCTATTACCTTTATTAGTTGCATGGTTAAATTTGGTATACAATATATTAAAAAAAATAAAAATATTTTTATTTACATTTAAAAAATAATAATTATTCATAACTTACGGGTAAATATTAACTTGGACGTAAACGAAATAGTCAATTATTCATAGTTAATAAATTACTCAACTGCTTAATTTTTTTATTTGAATAATTTATACAATAATAAATTATTTGAAGTAATGAAACAATAAAAATTTTATATTTATACTTATTATTCACATAGGTTGTTAAACATATGATAAGATTTTACCAAAATATCTATTTTATGGAATCACGTATAGTCAAATCGATTTTTTGAATAAAACTTTTGAAATGATAATTATTTTGAAACAAATATAAGTAATTTATTATCAGTTATGTGCACCGCACGGGTTGTATACTAATTTTAAATAGACATTTTTATGTAATTTTGCACAATTTAAACTTTATATAACATTTTTAATAAATAAATATAGGTAAATTGTATTACATATTAATTCCATATGTTTAATTTATAAATATTATTTAATAAAAATTTTTAATTTATAAATATTAATGAATATCTTATACCCGTGCACTGCACGGGATTCATACTAGTAAGTATAGATAGATAAGAGAAGTAATATCTAAAGAATATTTTTAAACGGGTAGAGGATGTCTTTAATTCACAAAAAAATGATATTTGGGCTTAGACTATTCTGTACTACGCTCTTAGGCGTAACAAGAAATTAGTGTATGGGCCGACTACGGAACATATTAAGCCCAACGTATGCAAAACGAATGAACAGAATCCGAGGGACAATTGAGTTCACATTTACAGTCAGTCGCAGGAGGGTGAACACACTCGAAAGAGGAAGACGAAGGAAAACAAAATCTCCTGGAAATGCTAAGATACAGGAAGCTTTTTTCAATAGCACCACGATATTATAATGGCAGAAATTTGTCCAACCCTAAGATACGTTCAAAACATCCTTGTCAATGGACTTCCACTCGCTTTCTTGACATTTACCAGGTCGGTTCATTTCCTGATTTTTTTTTTTTTCTTTCTTCTTCTTCTTCTTTTATTTTGGGGGAATTGGCACTACGAATTTGAAGGTTCATGAGATGTTAATTTCGGTATCTAATACGATTGAGGCTGATTTTGGATTTGTTTTTGTGTGATTTGTTGTGAAGAGCTTTGTACTGACGCTATCGATGGTTTCTGTTTTGGTTATCTCGATCGTAGATGGGAAACAAGCAGGCAATTGAGAAGGAACGAGCTCGACTGTGAGTAATTATAGCTTTCGTGTCCACTCCTAGCTGCTTTACATTTTCTTTGAGTTTCACTATGAAGCTGCATTTGTTTAGTTATTTAAATGTGAATGTGAATGCAAGCGGTTATATGTTATTTAGGACAGTAAAGATGAGATGAGCAGGGGCTACTTTGCTGACATGTCTGAACTGAAGCAACATGGTGGGAAGGTATGTATTGGTGAACTTGGCTGGATTCATGTTTTGGAGACTGTTGTTGGTATGTATATTATCGCATTAGAATTTAGATATCCAGAAATGACTTGAGGTACCATTTACTTTTGTGAAAAATGAAACAGACGTTTAAAGGGTAATTTTAATTTTAATTATTAAAAAGTTCCTTGGATTATATTTTAATTAGGCTATACCCACGAGGCATTTTACGTAATTTACCTGTAGATGGTTGTGTGTTGGATAGCTGAATTTTGTGGAGTTTTTGAATGTTGGTGGATTTTTTCTGAGTCTCATGATATGCAGATAGCAATGGCGAATAAGATTATAATTCCATCAATGGCAGCCGTAAAGTTTCCTACAATCGAAGTTAACAACTCAGATGGTAGTAGCCTTAAGCTGCCCATAACCTCTGATGCAAATGATGTTAATGTTACCAAGTCGGATATTCCCAAGGCATCGTTATTGTGTTTGTCATTTCGAGCAAGCTCACAGGTGAAATATACATACATATACACTATACTCATATATATAGGGTTGGGATCTGGTCGGGATCAGTCTTAACGTAGAACTGGGAATCCTGCTAAAATTAAATTGATCACTGAACATACTACTACATTAACAGTGTACAATTTTAGTTTTTAGCAGTGTGATTACTACGCATGTAATAGCATTACTTAAAAAGATGTTGTGTCACTGTATATTATGGCATTGCATACAATGTATTTAGCAGCAGATATAACCGATGTTATTCTTTGATCCTACGTTAAGAATTAGTTCTTACTCGATCCATTTCCTATATAATATATGTATGTATGTATGTATATTTGATTGATTTTTGCTCCCTCCTTGGTAGTGTATGTTTCAATTATATATTTTCTCCATTTCTCATTTCAAAGTGGCGCGCATGCTTGTTTTTTTCAGTGTGCTTTAGCTTTATAATACCATCAACATCATATATTATGTAGCTTAGTGTGAAAAGGCTAGGGGAGACGGTAAGAACAGCTGAAAATATGAACAATTGTTAAAACTGGCAATTGCTGAGAAGTCAAAGTTCCTGAAAGAGAATCATAACCATTTTTGTTTGTATTTGTTTGGATGAAGATTTTTGTTCACTTTGAACATGTTAGAATTGGTTGAGATTTGAGAATTCATGCGAAAAGTGAAATGTTGTGGACTGGTATTAGCTGGTCAACTTGGCTTTCATTAACATCAGGTTCTAATGTACCGCAGTTGAATGATTAAGATGATACAATGATACCTGAATTTTTTGTAAAAGTGTGGCTCTTCACTCTAACACCCCACCTTGATGCAAGAAAATATTCTTTGACGTAATTTAAAATTTACAACTTGATCAAGAATCATGCTGACTTTGTTCTTTCTGAATTTTAATTCTTTTGTAATCATGCAGCATATGGTTGATTCCTGGAGCGCACCATTTCTTAATACTTTTGGTAATTCCAGTGATGTTCGGTTATACGAGGTATCCCATCTTTTTCAGTTGCTTTAATTGTCTGATAGAAAAGGTCACAGTTTTAGGCTTTACATTTTATTCTTTCAATTACCTATTTGCCTAAATGGAATAAGGGGCGAATGGATATTCTCTCAACCCTAGCAAAATTAGGATGGATTTTTTAACTATGAAAGAATTTGTCCCGTGTGCTTTGCTGCTAATGGTTTTGTGACATAGCCAACATGATCTTGATATTTGTTTTGTTCTATGACTGCAAGAATTTTATAAACAGTAAAAAAATGGTTATTCTCTCTCATGTTTCCCCCTCAAGGCTTTGCTTGCAGTAGGTAGCCCCGCAAAATTCGATAGGATGTCCAATATTTCTTTTTCCATCTCTTTTTGTTGCACAGAAATAAAGCAAGTTCTTATTTCTTATTCATTAAAGAAAAGATCACTTAATATCAATCCAAACTCCATCCTCAAATTTTTTGTTGAATATTATTTCTTAATGGACGACAATCATCTCTATTCTAGACAACAATAAAGATTTTAACGACTAGTCCATCTTCCTTTCGTACGTATAGCTGACAACCCAAAATTTGATATTATGACGTAAATGTGATCCTATCATCCCATAGAAAAGTAGAGTGCTCATGTTAAATTGAAGAAAATGTGCCACCTTGATGTATGGGGGAACCATTCAACTTTACGTAAACATGTCGTGATTGGAATTTCATTAATTTGTTATCTATTGAAGGTCTCTCTAATCTCTTGTTTAGGTGTCTTTCATTGATTCATGGCTATTGACTCGTAGTCCGATAAAGAAGCTACTTCTTAAGATCATGAGAAAACCTAAACCTGAGGGAGAGCAAAATGTCCTTCAGCGGCGGATAGTTTATTCTTTCGGTGATCATTATTATTTCAGGAAGGAGCTAAAAATACTGAATCTTCTTACAGGGTATCAAATTTAGAATTTGCTTTTTTACCCATTGATCGGACGTAATAGTTCTAAATCAAGATAAAACTGATGTTTGCAGGTATGTTTTCTTATTGGACAACCTTGGCAGAATACGGTGGCAAGGTTTTGGGTTAGCAACAGAAGATGAAATACGGTCACTTTTGTCTTGCACGTCCTTATTGCTGGACAAGAAATAATGACAACAAATGATCCTTATCAATGAATTACAGAAAAGAATGCTTTGCTTGATCGGCCAAAGTCAAACAAGACAACTTTCGTGTTGTAATAAGTGTGTCGCAATATTTTCAGCTATTTGACAGTAAATCATAATAATCTTTTTATGGAAATGGGTGTTTCCCTTACTGGGTGAAGTTTTGGATTGCAAAGATTATATCTTATATTTTGTTTATGTGCACTATGCATTTTCCTCTGCATCAATGTAATGTTGGATGTCTATTTCAACATCTTCATATACTTAAAGAGCTGCAGTGGGATTTTTCCATTTTATAAGTTGGAATAATAAATTTAATTAGAGCTTCATAGTTTGCATTTTGTGTTTTATTTCTTTTGTGGATTATGCTTATGTTGACAGTAAAGTCTGGCGATAAATGATTTACAATTCCTCCTCAAACACCCTTCCAGAGATCAACGCCCTTCCAGTGATCTCGAGAGTCATGCAAAACACGTACGGAGTTTTTTCGGTAGTAGACCTCTGACGATTAAGTCTGTTCTTAGATTATGAAAGGTGCTAAATATGTCGGTGTATTGAAAATCTAGAGAAGCTAGAGAGAAAATCCCCTACTGTTTCATACCTAAGACCTATGTATAGTAGAATTTTGTCTCGTTCTCTAAGATCTACCATGGGTGCCATTACTGCTAAGATCTGGCCGATGGTTATCTTGTTGTCCAAGGTTTGCCTGAGGCGCAATCTTATTTTTAAGGTAATCTAGTGCTTTCCTATATAACCCTCCACGTTATCGGTAAAATGTCATTCTTATCTACTCTTAAGGTCTTTATATGTGTTAGGTAAATGATACTTTCTTATAGTCATCACAATTGTACATAGGTCCATAATCATGTGAATTTCCCACACGTTAATCATATGTATACTGTCAATAGGTCATTATCGCATAAACTTTTATGGGCCAATCATTATTCTGCGTTTCTTTTAGATCTTTCCTTGCCTAACACTATTAACACCGACGTGCCCTACTCGAGCTCCGATCCTTACTTAGCCATTATCCCCAACACCTATCACCTCAGCTCATCCCATTAGGTTGACTACGCACTTTATAGATGAGGCAGAGAGAGACATACCTTGGGACTCACTTGACAAACTATAGATGCCTATAACTTAGATCTAACCCCTGACATTAGTGCCTATCCCTGCCTCCGAACTAAGAGTTCATCAAACTCAAATTACAGTAGATACAGATAAACATGCCGACCATGTTGTAGGTCATGTTTATGATGCAGTTGTCATTACTTGAGCTAACCCTTTCCTTTTTGCCAAAGAACTTGAAATCCAAAATCTTATGAAAATCTGCGAGCTCCCCGGTTGGGTATTTAAAGCTCTAGAACTACCGTAGTGCTCATAACCGACCTCCTCCTGTGTTCTATGCCTTTTTTGCCGACCAAATTATTAGCGGCCTCCGCTATCCACTTCGCCCAGACCTCCACCTCCTCAACCTTAGCCAACTATATAATTTGCCTTACCAGTTCGGCCCATTTCTATCCGTAAGTTTTATCCTCCTTAGCCATAGCAAACTTTAAGCTCGTGATCCTGATTTCTTTTTTAACTGTTATGGCCTCAAAATGCAAAAATGTTTCAATTATTTGACAGCTCATAATCGATCCAAATTCTTTCACGACATACCTTCCAATGTATCACTTGGAAAATAATTTTTTACATTGTGAAACCAAACAAAGAGGTTTTAACAGGCCGTATCTCTACATCTAGATCCATCTACCTGAAACACTCGCAGAACATGATATTTGTCAAGCTTCCTGTGTCAATGAAGATCCTCTCCGAATCATAACCCGCAATCTTCGCTGTCACTACCAAAGCATCATTATGAAGGACCAGAATACCCTGCGAGTCCTCAGCTCCATTTTTTAACTCTGGCATGTTGTGGGTGATCTGGACCTCCGCCACACTCTCCCAATAACCCCTCAGATTAACTCGCATAGCATTGTTAGAATCACCATCAGTTGCCCCCCTGCAATCATGTGAATCACCCCCTTTTTCGGAGACCTGACTTCTGGTTTTTTTGGCCTTCTCCTTTCATCTCTTACCTCTTTATCCTCCTTCTTCTCCCTATCTTAAACCACGAACTATCTTAAACCACGAACTCCTTTAAATTCCCCACGCATATGAGCCTCTCTATCTCATACTTGAGCTCCTTACAGTTGTTAGTCCAATGTCCGTAATCACAGTGATACCAACAAAAAGGATCTCCTCGCACCGAAACTTGCCCCTTCTTCTTAGATAGAGGTTGAGGTTTCCTTACATACCAGTATCCCTCATTTCTCTAGATTCTCGTAAACCTGACCTCTAGGGAACGCCAATGGTGTATATTGCTCAAACTAACCATACACCCTTTAACATCTCCCCTAGCATCTCTTTCCCCTGACCTTCTGTCGTCAGGCCTATGCCTTTCCTCTTGTTTATTTTCCTAAGCTCGATCATTCAAGAAAAAATCCTCCTCAGTTTCTTCCATGTTTATGTATTTGGTACAACGCTCTAACAGTTCGTCGTATGACCTAGCTGGCTTCTTAGCTAAGGAATTTTGGCAGTGACTTGGTTTGAGACATCGCGTGGGACCTCTTGTTTTGATCTCCTCCGACGCTAATGGGAGCTCCACAAAAGCTCACGCGTATCGAGCTACATACTCCCTCAAAGATTCATTTTTGCGCTGTTGCATGTTGATCAACGTGAGGTAGATCTTCTCGTGCTTCCGAGCACTAGAAAATTGGTTGATGAAGAAAGAGCTAAATACATTGAAGTGGTAAATAGATCTTGCTGAAAGCTGGTGGAATCAATTTTGAGCCGAGCCCTTCAAGGTCGTCAAAAAAGCTCTATAACAAACAACATCACTGTATCGGTCCAAGACTGACACATTCTCGAAACTTCTCTGGTGTCTAGCTGGATCTGTAGACCCATCGTAAATCATGCTCGGCTCCCTGAAATTCTACGATAGATCAGCATCCAAAACATCATCAGAGAAATGATGACCCTATACCCGCAACTGACGTTGCCCCTTCACCTTGACTTGACGCTCCCTGATCTGATTTTCCATGCGTTCCAACGTGAAGCCTTGCAGTGGCCTGTTGACCATTGATGACACAATGGACCTCTCATCACCTTCCTCTTGCCTCCTACTCTTGCATACCACTAGCTTAGAGGTCACCACATTGTGCTACTCCACCACCATGACCAGTTATTCAACCCCCATTGTCGGTTGATCCACCACAGCCTTGGCTGCTCCACCCATGTCGTTTGATTTTCCACCGTTGAATGAGGCTGCGACACCCTTGACCCATTGATTGTCTCCGCAATGATCCGATCCAACTCCCTCCTGGTTAGCTTTATCACCTGCTCATTTTCCCACACTGGAGCTCCCTGATCTTCCACCTGGACAATGACCTCCTTACCTTTCCCCTTGCCAGAAAAACCCCGATCTAACTCCTGCGTCAAGGCCTGGTTCACCCCCAGCAAGCTCATCTGAGGGGTAACCATCACACCCTCACCACCAGCCCATCCCGGAGGTGGACCTACACCAAAGGGCATCTTGGCTGCCCAAACTTCCTCCAAACTCTCATCCAAGTTCCTCCTCAACCCCTCATCTGCCATAGTTGTCTTCTCCAATGTGCTGTTGCACCTCGAACTGGCTATCTACAATCCCTCGACTGATTTGTCTCTTGGAGACCTGCGAAGGCGCTGGGAGATGTTCTCGACGTTAAACCTCTGATGATCAAGTCAGTAAGGTGATGTGAAAAGTTGTATGACAATATACTGAAAGCTTAAGGTGTATAAAGTGTGATTAACCTTTACCTTTTCCAGAGTTTACTTATTTATAGCAGATTAATCGTTTTCTGAATAAGCCTCGACTCTGCCCGACTGCCCAAAGGCCTGCCCAATTGCTCCCACTGCCCAAAAGGGCTGTCCGTCGGTTATTAGGCTACCCGTAGATCTCCCGTCAGTTATTTGGTTCTCTTCACATTTGTCCGATTATCTATCTCTTTTATTTGTGGCCCAACATATGTCCCTTGTTAACAGACCCGACTCGACCTACTATGTTGGTTGATCCATTTCCTATCCAAGCTAATTATCACATGTCCGAGCTCCTTACTATCCGAGTTATCGATATATCTAATTTGTCGAGCTGTTTATATGTCTAAACTCCTTAATGTTCGAGCTATCAATACATCTAATTTGTCCGAGCTATTTATATGTCTGAGCTCCTTAATAACTGAGCTTGAGTCCTACCCTAGATATTCGAGCCATTTGAACCATCCGAGCCCTCATGCTCGACCGACCTAACTAATTCTTGGTCTACAAACCGAGCTAATCATGACCGGTTCAACCGAACTGTCTATATATACTATATCAAATAAGCATGTACATTAAACATCAAATAAGCTAAATTGTTGCACAGAAACATCAAATTATCGCATAAATATAATCCTCCCATTTTAAAGCAAATTTCTAACATTTAAAAACAAGATTGAAACTACTGAGCGTATTTAGGTTGGACGTACTTCTACAACTTAATAAAAAGGTTAAATTTGCCAATACCTCCGCTCCAATATAGAAAGCAAAAGCATTATAAGTTTCTAACATTTAAAAACAAAATTGAATCTACCAAAAAAAAAATTCAAACATTATATAAATCGCCCCTCCAATGTCCCACATTAGGAAAAATTTTCCAAAACAGTCTCGTAATTTTTTTTATTTAGGGTGTCCCAAAAGTAATCGAATTGAAATTCAATTGATTAATAGTGGTAGTGGTCTCGCAGATTTTAAATTGATCGAAGTTGAGATTAAATAGTATTTGATCCTGTACACATGCATAGAGAGAAATAAAATTTTATATATTATATGTACGTATGTGATATTTAAAAAATTTAAATTAGATAAAGTGTGTATTATATATTAAAATTTTGATTATATATAAATGTATAATATAAATATAAATTATTTAATTTCCGTATATATTAGTTTTTTTTTGTTATTGTATAATTATAATACAAAATAAGAATATTAGTAAAAATATAATTTAATATTATATATTCAGAAAATTTAAAATCTTGTAAAGTTGTTACAGAATAAAAAATTAATAATAATAATAATAAGGTTTTACTTGTGTAACTGTCATTTGAATGGTAGTCATAAAGATTTTTATTAAATGTTGAACATATTTTTATTAAATGAACACCTATTTTAATTAAATGAACTCATATTATTATTAATTGTGGTTGAATAAAATTTATTGAAGTTTGCCAGCAATTATATATATATAGATTTTGATTGAATATTTGAATTTGAGTTGAGAACATTTCATATTGATAACTCTAAAGAAAAATTTAGCTGAAAATTTTCTGCATTTACCAATTTGAGACACATTTTGGTTAGAAATTTAATAAGACACATGCAATAAGCCATTTAAATTTTCTTTGAAACTTTCAGCCTAAAAGTGAATTGTCATATGCACAGGTCACAATAACTTTTTGGTTAAGATTTAAATATATAGTCAAAATTGAACATGACTACTTTTGAAAAATTCCCCCAAACCCTCGAAATATGAGGGCTCCATAGAGAACCCACTTTTCCTCGAGTCCATTTCTTAGGGGCAAAGCGAAAGACTTAAAACACTTTAGTCACTACAATTTTGTTAAAGTGTTTTTGGATGTGAGATTGCAATAAAACTATAAAGTATTCAAGAAAATATGGCGTGCCTCAAAAACTCTTGAATGATGTCAAGAAGGTTCCTAGGGTTGTGCTTTTTAGTCTTTAGCATCTCAAAAAAGTTGGGGGTCTATACATATAAAAGTTGTGAATAATAAAAACGCAACTATTATTTGAATTACTTTACTCTTACTGTTTTTAATAAAAGTAAATAAACAGACCAACTTCTTACCAAATTCGGGGACAGTCAGGCTACAATGTTTAAGAGAAAGCAAGAATTAGTTGGCTGATTAGTAGTTTTTGATGACTAAAAATAATTAAATTCAACAAATCTTCTATGATTTGACTTCCATTATGATGTATATTATATTAAGATATTTTTAAGGAAGATGTGATTCTTGCTACATCATAGTTTCTAGAATTCACAAAAAATCAAATTGAACAGAAGAAATTGAATAAAATGATAAAATTGGAAACATGTGGAACATGCTCACAGTGAAATAAATTTATCATCGATTAATACTCGCGGTTATCCCCAAACTTTTTCATCACTCGAGCGTGTATGTTTTCAATCATAATTAATTTTTGAGCTACTTAACACAACTTTGAGATACAAAAATCATGTTTTTTCCACAAATTTAGAGTTAATTTTTCGTTCATCCAAAAATAATTTTGAATTAAGTTTGTCGCTTGCAAAAAATAAAAATAAAAATCGTATAAAATCAATCTTTTTACAACAAATTTTTGTGCATATCATCTACTATATTGTATATATAGTTATTTATCAAAACTTAGTCATTAAAAGAGAACCGATCAAATAATTAATTAGTCACTAAATAATCTAATCACATTTTTCAATGTTTGCCGTAAAATACAGCACACATGTAATTTTGATGCTAGTTTTTGACTTGCTAAGAAGATAGATTAGCGGCTTTAAGAATACGACATGGGCGCTGGATTCACATTAGTCAGACTAATATTAATTTCTATGAATATTATTAAGCTTTGCGGTTGTAGATTTTGGACTTTGTACAATGTAATATAATATTGATGCAACGTTGATTCTAGCAAAACACAGTGGATCGGTTGTAGGTGGTGTTGGTGGATAATTGTTGTACAAAAAAGATAATAGTGAATTAATTTACAATTAAAAAATTATAACCATAGTTTGACTTGTTTATCATATTAACAATTTAAGCTCGAATTATAATAATGGTTTATATAAATATATATATAAAAGCTCGAATTATTACAAGTCAAACTTAAAATTTAATAAATTGAGTTATAAACAATTAACATAAAATATTATATTTTCAAATTTTAACAAGTTGAGCTAAGCTCATGACGATATTTAAACAAGCTTAAAATTGATTCGTTTGGTCAAATTGAAGCTTAAACACGTTAAGTCGAGTCGAACTCGAATTTTAACGGACAACTCGTTTCATTTAACCTCTCTAATTACAACCAAGTAAGTGATAAGGATTATGTAATTCACACATGGTAATGTGATGGTGCTTGCATTAATCGGACGGTTGTTAGTTTGTTACTATCTGTCCAACATCGAATGATCGAAGGGTGGAGAATAAAATAGGGGAATGGTACCTTTAAAGTACTGTATGGCCCCCCCATATTATATATTTACCATTTTAGCCGTTTGTAATTGCTTAGATTATAAGGAAAACTGGAAAAGGCAAAAGACGAACGAGAAAGACGCGTGGGATTTATTTGTTCGGAGGATATGCCGCCGGCAAGGATTCTCGTGGTTGCGGCGCTGCTTTTGACGGCGGCGGCGGTGGGGGCCGAAGGGGAGGGATTGGTGCTAAGTCTGGAAAGGGCGAATCACATCGGGTTGGGGGTGAGTCAACTCAGGGAGCGTGACCGAGTTAGACACGGTAGATTCCTGCAGCAGCAGCAGCACCAGGCTTTGGGGATTGTTGATTTCCCCGTTCAAGGAACATATGATCCATATCTTGTTGGGTATATATATAGCTTGTATAATTGTTCATCCTTTTTTTTAATTGAGAAGAAAACAATCTTGTTTACACAATTGTATGAATGTGTTTTTGCAAAATTTTCTCTTTTTGAAAATGGAAAATTGGCTTGGATTTGTTGTTTTTGTGATGTTCCGTTCATGTTCTTTTTCTTCATTGTAATGTTTAGTTTGATCATTTTCTTGAAATCAACTTACAATTCTCTAAAGTCATGGCCTGGTGACGACAGAAGCACATTTTTAAATTTTGATGTCCATCTAATATAGTTGTGCGTGCCTTTTGTCTGTTTTTTCAGGTGAATTCTTTCCTTCAGATGGATGATTGACTTAAACATGTGATTTTAGACTATTTCCTTTTCCTAATCATTTATTTGGTTGGTCCTTTCTTGAGATTATAACTCACAAAGTCAAAGTCCTAGCTTCGTTGTTACAAACCTCATTGAAATATTTAAAATTATGATGGTTTAATCACCTTTTAGAGAGGGACTTATTCTGGGTTAGTTCGTCCATTTGAGAGGGAAGAACTCAAAATGTTCTACTTAGCCTTTATACTGATTTTCTCATGAACTTAACTATCATTGAAAGGAATGTTCTGTTGACTAATGTACAGTGAATTATTTTAGTTCAGCAGCATTTGATGATTTTTGTAGTATGTTCTTTCTTAATTCATTCTGCCTCTAAGAGGCACATGGGTTAACTTCGATTCTAGATAATCATATCAATTCACCAGTACTAATCGGCCTTAGTTAATCTTTATAGGTTATACTTCACAAGAGTTAAATTGGGGAATCCTCCAAAAGAATTCTTTGTACAGATAGACACAGGAAGTAATGTTCTATGGGTCAGTTGCAATCCTTGTGCCGGTTGCCCCAAATCCAGTGGACTCCAAGTATAAATACATGACATTCTTGCAAATTTACCATTTGTATTTTTAATTTTTTAATTTCTGGTAGTACTCGTTGCAGATTGTTTGTGGGGGGCTATGCATGTTGATTTTTCTTTTTTTATTGCTGTTCGACAGATAGAGCTCGAGTTTTTTGATCCTTCCAGCTCGTCAACAGCTTCTCTAATCTCATGTTCAGATCAAAGGTGTGGTTTGGGAGTTCAAACGTCTGATGCTGGTTGTTCAGATCAAAATCGGTGTGGATACACATTCCAGTATGGTGATGGGAGTGGGACCTCAGGATTTTATGTATACGACTCAATTTATTTTGATTCAATAGTCGGGAACTCAATGACTTCTAATTCTTCATCCCCTGTTATTTTTGGGTGGGTTCTCGTTCGTACACATTATGCCTGGTCACATTTCACTTTTTTTCACAATACTTGCTCAACCTTTTAAAAGTGCCCTTAACTTTGAATGTGTTATCAACAATATTTTATGGTCATTTTGCCTTTTTTGTCTTAAAGGTTATGGAATATTTAACTGCAAGAATAAATGAAGAAAAAGTAGATTTACACTATTCTTGTATAGCAGTACAAAGTTTGAGTTTTGAATTGTCAATGTGTAAATGTTGAGTTGGAATCACAAAAATGTGAAGTTTATTTTTTTGTTATTGAACTCTTCATGTAATGTACCATTGAAAAATTCTGACATTTCAAGAGATTATGACACAAACACCCATGAACCATGGTCAAACTGAATTTCCACCCCCAAGTCAATATAATATTCTTTCTCCTCTTGATCCTTAGGTTGTCTGGTAACTATAGCTAGTTGTGTGTCATCTCACGTTTCTGTATTTATTTATTATTCTTCGGTTGAGTAGTTGTGTTTATTCTCATGTTTTATTTCCCTTTATTCTTTCTGTTGGTACAGTTGTAGCACGTCACAGTCAGGAGACCTTACGAAACCTGATAGGGCTGTTGATGGCATATTTGGTTTTGGGCAGCAAGGATTATCTGTCATCTCACAGCTTTCTTCACAGGGGATAACCCCAAATGCTTTCTCTCACTGTCTAAAAGGAGAAGATGGTGGTGGTGGTATATTGGTGCTTGGTGAAATAGTCGAGCCTAATATAGTTTACACCCCGCTTGTCCCCTCACAGTACGTATGTTTTTCTGTTTCTTTTATTGGTCCCATTTGATAACTTCAGTGCTTGGTTTTTATTTGTTTCTTTTCGGATCTAAGTTGTGTCGTGAAAATTTAAGAGTCTGATTGAGTTTTTCTGCCTTATCTTCAAGTTAAATTGGAGTGGTTTAGGTCTGTTTTATATATAATATGTGCGTTAGTGGACTTTTGATGTAATTTTAAATATATTACATAATATTGATTTTTTTTTTTTCCTTTTTACATACTTCACTATGTCATGCATTGTTATGTGTACTCCAAGTGCTATCAAATTAGTCTAACTACAAACAGTTGATGAACCTCTGATATTGCATTTTGATATATTATTCATTACGAATTTCAGGCCACATTACAACGTATATCTACAAAGCATTGCTGTAAATGGGCAAACATTAAACATTGATTCATCAGTCTTTTCGACATCGTCCAACCAAGGAACGATAATTGATTCGGGAACAACTTTGGCTTACCTAGCTGAAGAGGCTTACGATACCTTTGTTTCTGCAGTAAGTTGGCAGATGAAAAGCGTTGCTTTTTCTTCAAATTCCCATGAATGCATGTCATTTTTTATTTGTAGTTCTTATTCTGTATGATTGTGAGGACCAATGTGATTTGTGGATTTTTTTTAATTTCTTTTGTTTTCTCAGATTACACAATCTGTTTCTCAATCTGTGCGCCCTCTTCTAGTTAAAGGAAATCAGTGTTACCTAGCAACTTCCAGGTTTCTTTTTTATCAGAGTGTATTAATTTTGTCTGTATCTTTCTGGACAAAACTGGATAATTATATTGTGTTTTTCTTCTTTTTCTGTACAGTGTCTCGGAGATTTTTCCACCAGTTAGTTTAAACTTTGCTGGTGGCGCATCTATGATACTTAGGCCCCAAGACTATCTTCTGCAGCAAAATACTGTCGTAAGTGGGCATGTTTGAACTTTCAAATTGCTCTCTTATTGGAAGTGGAGGTTTAAGTTAATTTTAGGAAAAAAATGTTACAACTAGTTTTTCAAAACGTGAATACTGCTTTGACATTTGTTTTCATATTTTATAATTGCACCTCGTATGGGGATGATGAGGCATTTGTCAAGTAAATGCAGACCTTAAATGGGGTTTTAATAAAACCGTATGGGTGTTTGTAATTTTGAGAATGAGCTGGTAGTCTTTTATAATTAGGCGAACTATTTGGTAATAACTTGAAATTTTTGCTTATGTAGGGAGGCGCTGCTGTGTGGTGCATTGGCATTCAGAAAATTGAGGGTCAAGGGATTACAATTCTAGGAGGTATGAGTTTCAGTTTTTGCATTTTTTTATTACTTTTGGTAAATCTTGTTCTGGCAGAGACTGTTTGTATTTTTGAAAGAGAGTTTTTTTTATAAAATTTTTTACCCTGTCTTTATTATTTGTTTACGTTTGACTGTTTTAATTTGACGGATCATCATATGAAGATGTTGTCTAGTTAAATTCATTTAAATGCTCGTCCCTTGCTGCAGATCTTGTTCTGAAAGATAAGATCGTGGTGTATGATTTGGCTGGTCAAAGAATTGGATGGGCCAATTATGACTGTAAGTTTCATTCCATGAGGTTACCTAAGACAAGTGGAAATGTGATAATTTGTTTTTTTTTTTTTTACTTGAATTGTATACATCATCTCCTAATTCTTTCTTCTTTCTTCCATAACATAATTGTTGCAAACATTTAGCAGAGGTGATTACCAGATTTAGGGGATGCTTGGATATAAATTTTTCCAAAAAATGCAATAATTTTTAACCAAACACTTTTTTTAACTCTAATCTGACTCAATTTTAAGTCAATCCCACTATCCTCAGTATTATCAATATAATTAAATAATATCACTCAATCATTCTTACAAACCACATCAACTTTAATTCACTATTCATCCACTAACATAATTTTAACTAACCATCATTTCGCATCATTTCTCTCCTACTTTTACATCAAATCAACTTTAATTGTTTTATTTTAAATATTATATATAAACTCAGAATCTCACTAATAATTAACCATAACATTTTTATCAAAATTAACCATACAAAACCAAAAAGTCCAAACAAAATCAAAATATCATATATCCAAGCATCCCCTTAGCTTCCTGACCTTTAAGGGAGAGAGAGAGAGAGAGAGATTTTTTTTCTACAAATTTTTCGACTCTTTCTGGGCATAGCAAATGTTTGACTTTTTTATTGTCCATGGTTTTCAGAATGAAGTGCTTTTATGTGTTATCTATGATCTATCACACTCTTCTAATTCATGCAACTTATATCTCCTATCTGCAAACACACTCAACTTTTGGTTCGTTATCACTTTTTCACTTTAACCACAATAGAAGGAGAAATCTTTTGCAGAACTCTCTTATTCGGTGTAACCATTAATTAGCCCGACTCATTTATGCAAAATCCATATCCTATACAGGTTCATCATCTGTGAATGTCTCAACCACCACAAGCACAGGTAGAACCGAGTTTTTCAATGCGGGACAACTAGAAAAAAACAACTCATTATATCACGGGCTTCACAAGCTAATACAAGGTTCCATCCTAGCTTTGCTGTTGCATTTAGCATTCTTTGGTGTACTTCCATTCTTGTGACGGCTAATTCATTGATTGGCAGAGGTCTTGTAAATTTGTCCTTTTCATTCGTTTTGCCTTTTTTTTTTTCTGTTTTCTTTGTTCTTTTGGGGTTTTTTTTGCCCCCTTCATTTTCCACCATTTTTGTTTAGCTCCTTGTTTTTAAAAAGCCAATTCAATGGGGGCATTTGTATACTAGATCATAAAATCGTCTCGATTGAGGCCTATATTTCATTGGTTAGCATAGAGAACTACATGTAAGTGTACAAAATGTCTTATAATATTCGTCCCATATGAATGGAACGGGTATTGTGTGTATCTTTAGTAAAAGACAACCAATATCATCAGGAGCACACTTTTATATGATTATGGTTTCTGTTCATTCATCTTCGAAGCTTTTGTCAATAGCTGGGGATATGTGGCATTGTGATTCATTCTGTAATATTAATGTGGCTTGTGCTGTTATTACCTTGTGGCCCCTCTCCTTCTGTTGGTATACTTGTAACATTATGAGAGTAATATTTGTCTTCTCAATTTAGCATTGCAATTTTTAAAACGAAAATCATTTGCTGCTGGGCTTGTTTGGTATTAACCAAAAATTATGGAAAGCAGAAGGAAAATAAAATCTTTTGGTTCAAGAAAAACCGTAATTTGGAAAGGTTTTTTCAGTCAAGAAGACCGGGCCAAGAAAAAAAAAAAAAGAAAAATGGAAGAGAGAATTATAATAAAGCAGTTGGGCAAGAAATAGAGAGATTATTTCCAGGAACAAAAATTTATTCAGCATGCAATTTGAAGTGAAGACATGATGAAGATATAACTTCTGGGAACCAAAGACCATGTGAAACACATGTCACTAGCGACAACAATTTTGCGACGCTCAATTTGGGAGCACGTGATATAGCGACAAGCAATAGTAGGGGTCTGCGGCTAAATGACATTTGGAGAAAGCAGACGACATAATTTATTTCAAATTATGAAAATTACTAAAATTCTTATATGGGTGTTACTTAAAAAGTTAATACTAAAATTCTTTTAAAAAATATCGGAGGTCATTCTTTTATTTAAATTTTAAATATTTTTTAAAATCATTTTATTATTGTTTATACTTAAAATGAGACATTTCACTTGTACGAATTGTCGTATTAATAATATCTTTTTTAACTCACTCATACCCAATGAATCTATGATAACTTCTATAATTATAATTTTAATAATTTTTAATTAGAAAAAAAAAATCGATTTATTTATTTTATATATACAATTTGGAAATCGAATCGAAGCTCGTGAAAAAGTGATTAATGTACTATATTATATATGAAAAAATGATAATAAATATAAAAGGTACTAACTTTTAACATATATTTGTAATTTAAGTTATAATTTTAAAAGTTCTAAAAATTATGGATGATTTCATTATCAATACAAGTCATTAGCAACTGTTTTCCTTTTCAAGAGTTATACTTAAAAATATCTATATACAATTTTGCATAACTAAAGTGTAATCAGTTCAAGAATTGACTTGGATTTCTATGATTTTGATATGTAATTATCTTTAAACATTTGATGGAGATGAGACTGCGTTGGTCTTTTTAGAGAAGCATGATCGTTCAGCATCATTGATTTAATTATTATTTTCTTGGTTCAATTACCAATTTCCTTTGCTTTAATAATTATTAGAGCATCCTAAATTTGTTAGTTAAATTTATTTATTAGAATCATTTACTTGCTGAGCAGGATATTGACTTAGGATTTTAGAAGTTCTATTCAAAATTCCTCTTCTATTGTTTTGAGATAGTTGAATTTTGATTGAACTAATACATATTACGAGATTTCTCTTTATTTCTCTCAATTGTTTACGCTTTCGCTACGTCAGTTGGTATTAACAGACCAATACGATTCATGCACAATATTTGTAAAAGAAAGCTTCTCGTGAAAAAACATTTGTAAAATTTTTCAAAGTACGCAAACCTATAATCGTTCTACTATTATAAGAAAATGACAAGTAATTGAGATATAGTATTTAATTGTGTTCCACCGTCAACACATCACCGAACTCGTTGACCTGAAAAGGGTGGGATTAGTATACAACAACTGGGTGGAGAGAAGAGAACTACACTTTTATCCAATAACAGACCTCACCATATTGTTTGAAACATAATGAAGTAACCCCTCCAAAGCTGTGAACGACAAATCCAATGAGGCAACAAACTCCAAATTATAAGTAAACATGTGTTGAAAAGATTATTGGTCATTTTTGCACGTTCTGATCGAAGTTTGACTTCAATTTCTCCTGCATTAGTTGATGTTGACGACTGAACAGAGTTGGGAAATTTGTAGATAATTATATGGCAGAAGTTGTTGTTGATATAAACTTAAAACCTAAGAAGATACGGGCTTTGGGGGAGATGTCAGAATCTTCTCCATTTTTGCATGATGGTTTATATATACTTTAAGGTTATATACCTCTTTTGCTATCTTTCTTTGATCACTATTCACTACTTAATTTTTTATTTTTTTTCATACTTTAATAAGTTTAAAACAAAGGAAAGGATGAAAAACTTGGCCAAATCACCGGGAGGTTGCCCTTCTTCATGCATTAGAGAAAGTCATGTTTTTCAGGCAACGCTTGAAACATATATGTGACTCGGTAAAAGTATAACTGATATACTGAATCTTTAAGGATGATTTATGTAGCTTAATTGCATAAATAAGTTTCCTCGAGTTTGAGAAGCAAACGAGCACATGTATAGTTTTATCCGTGTTGTTTCAGTTGTATAATTCATGATGTATAGCATTTTGAAGCTTAGAAAGTTCAGGATGTAAAGAGGTTTGTTTTCCTTGTATTCATTTACTGTACAAATCAACAGGCATCTTCAATTCTTCATCCAAGTACCCTTCTCTTTCTCCAAAATTCTGTCAATTCTGATCAGTGGATGTTGTGTTTGGAATAATATACTTGCTGGCCTGCTCACATACATTTCTTCTTC